TGTTATCAAATGAGCTGTTGAAGCAGCCAGTGAATATGTCATTGACTGTGACTGCTCCCGGAGTGAATGGTGATTTATCCACATGACTCCCGTCATGCTAACTGTGTGTGTGTGTGTGCGTACATGCCTGTCAGGACTGGTGGACCTCTTTCCCCCTCATTCAATATACTCACATCAGTATTAATACCATTCTGCTCTCAAATTACCCCTTAGCAACCCAGAACTTGAACTAACATCTTCTAGATGAAAGAGGATCAATACTTTACAGCCCAGAAGAAGATTGTCATATGTTGAACATGATTTTGGAAAGCGAGATCCCCTCCTTTAAAAACTCAGATAGCACAATAACTTAAAAAGAAAATGGAAGACTCCACAAACTATGCTTTTAAGCTTGCATGTGTTGAAAGCCAAGTAAACAGGATTTGTGAAACACTGACAGGCGCCCACTGATCCCTTCAGTGCTGACTGCAGATGAGACACTTTAAAGATGTTTATATTTATCCATCTTCTGTACGTCTGTGTGTGTCTGTGTGAATTAATAATGTGAGTATCAGGCCACCAAAGAGTTTCTGTCTTTTCATGATGGGGTGTCTGACAACAAGGCAAACTACTTTCTCTACCACCAATGATGTGCTTGTTGGTAGAACTGGAACCAGAGCAGGTGGCTAGAACGGACCAGGGTGTGTTTTTAAGTGTGTGAGTGTCTCTTACTCTCCCATAGAGGTAATTAATGAACCCCTGAACCTGTGGAACTCTGTTGAAAGGCTGCCAGCACATAGTCAGCGGTAAATCAAGAACCTCAATGCCAAATCAAAAGAAATCAGTTGATCTCTGCATAAACATGAGATCGGAGACACACCAGGCGGCATCTGCCTGCTCTGACACCCCGTCCCATCAAATCACCCGCTTCAACACCCCCCCACCCCCCCCGTCACACACACACGCAGACTCAGACACAGACCGTCCTTTTCTGTACTGAGCCGAAGTCATCTAATGCTCATCTCACCTATATCATATCATGCGGGAGAAAGAATTGTGGATTTTTTTTATGCATTTAAAAAATACTGTGATTTAAAATAAAAAGTTTTCCTAGATACACATAATGTGGACCACTACAAAATTATAACTAAACTGATCAATACATCTTCAGGTGTGAGCTGGGATAATACTTTTTTTGTTTTGCCCATTTATTTAGAAAACGTTCAGTAAAAACCTTTTAATAAATTCTGCCTAAAACATCTTAGCAGTTATTTTAGTGTCAACTATATTTACAACTATTATACAATTAAAGTAAAAGAATACAAAAGCTATGCAAGGGGCATTAGATTACATGTAAACAACACCAATCAAAGACAATCGTTACAACCATGCCAACAGTGAAAAACTACATGTTAATATATCCCACTCACATTTTTATTTTAATATATAAGCTAAATGTACATATTTGCCCTCTGCATTAATTCACTGGACCTTCAATTCATACAAACAGGAAAAATGCAGAGTACTTTTTATTATTGCTACCATACAGGTCTAAACAGGCGTACAACTTATTTAAAGTGATCGGTCACCTAGAATTTAAAATTTGCTGTTAATTTACTCACCCTCAGGCCATCCTTATAGAAATGCAGACTGATGGTCGACCTGCTGAGCATTGCTGCCTGACGCACCTCCAGCCTAACCCCAATATATCTCCTGGTGGTGGAGCAATGGCAGGGATTGGCACTCCCTGCCACCTCCTGCTGATACCTAGGTGTTACTTGGCCACCATCCCCAATGGTTCCTCCTTACCCACAGCCAAAAGCTCCCCCTCTCTGCCAGTTCTTTAATGGCTTTTCGAACTGGTAAACTGTTGAGGACCCAATGAAGCCTCTGCGTCCCACTTTGACAGGAAACGTGGTGGCTTTCCAGCCTTTTACCAAGTCTGCATACTTGGCATGCTTCTGCTTTTTAGCAGCTTCCATTCCCTCCTCCCATGGGCCCACCAATAAACTCCACCAACAAGATGGTCTTGCATGGCTCTGACCACATGAACAGGTCTGGCCGGAACAAAGTTTCTAAAATCTCCCTGGGCAATTGGAGCTGCTTCCCCAGGTCGACCCTCATATTCGACTCACTGCCAGATGAGAGGACTCTAGAAGTTGTTCTCTGGTGAGGGTGGTTGATTTTTTCTCTGGCCCTTGGAAACAGGATGGGAATGGAAGGTCTACCATTAGCCCCCTGTCTACATGACTCTGCCACCTCTGCTAGCTTCCTCAACAACAGATTGTGTTGCCACTTATTGTGGCCTTGGGACAATGCTGTCTTGCAGCCTGACAGGATGTGCTAGAGATTTGCATTGCTGGTACTACAAAAGGAACAACTTCTTCAGTCAGGAATCTAATCAGGAAGCTGAGCCTGGCTTGGGGGATCTTCCACAGATCAGACCATGACAAATGCCCGTCTATGACACCTTCCCATGACATCCAGCTTCCCTGCCTGGTGGTAATGTCCTATATATAGCCTCTCACTTGTGGTAGCCTTTGGCCTGATGGTAGCTTCATACCTCCAACCATCACCCTTGCCCCCATCAGGATAACTTTAAAGGTTGCTACAAACAGGATAGGAGAGACTGAGCATCCAATGGCAATGCCCAATTCCAGCTGTTGCCAGCCTGTTGTGAAGTCCTGATGGGTGCAACTCATCTTGATGTCCTCAAAGTACTTGGCCACCAGAGCACAAATGCAGACAGGGATGTAGAAAAAGTCCAAGGTATACTTGATGAGTTGGTGAGGGACGGACCCATATGCGTTGGGAAGATCCAGCCACACCACATGCAGGTCACCTCTCTCTCTCTTTTTGATCTCTGGATCTGCTCCCATAGGACTGCAGAGTGTTCCACGCACCCTGGGAAGCCTGGCATGCCTGCCTTCTGGCAGCTAGTGTCGATGTTAGAGAATTTTCTAGACTGATTCCGATTTCCATTTAGATTGACCTGCCAATACCGATTTTAGCCGATTCCGATTTTATTTTTCTAACCACTTTTTTTATTTTCAATAACACATATTTATTTTCTATATATATATATATATATATATATATATATATATATATATATATATATATATTATAAAACACCATATACTTTTACTCAAACTCAATAATAAAAACAGTAATTTTAAATTAAGTTTAAATGGGTAAATTTTTTTTCTGACATAGCCTACTCCAGCTCTTGTTAAAACACACAACAGTGCAGAGTGCATTTGACCGGTTGCCGGTCAAGGCCGATCACGTGAAAATCGTCCGTTTCCGGTCACAGTCAATCGGTGCATCTCTAGTCGATGTACCCATTGCTTATGAGGTAGGTGGTCAACCTCTTGGCCAGGATGGAGAAGAAAATCTTGACTTCAACATTCAGGAGTGCAATGCTCCTGAACTGGCTAATGGTGGTAGAGTTTGTTTCCTTAGAGATGAACACTGCAACACTCGTCGCAACTCTGAAGAGATGACCTTGTTCTTCCAGGCCACTCTCAAGAGCTTCCACAGGTGTCTTTGGACCCCTGGCAGTACTTGTACAGCTTATAAGATATCCCGTTGAGGCCTGGAGCTGAGGCTGCTCTCGCTTTCCGTAAAACGTCTTCTACCTCACTGAGTTTAGGGAGATCGGTGTTAAACAGGAAGGATCTTTTATCCTCCAGTAGTTCAAGCACTCGCATGCTTGAAGGGGTTTTTAAAGAAGTTGCTCCTCTCCTTCCGCCTTCTGCGTTTGCAGATGCGCTTTGGCCTCCAAAGGCTGTTTCTCGATCTCTCTCTATCCCTCCTCCCCTTCCACTTTGCCACACAGTGATTGCTCCAGAATGAAGCTGAGTTCCTCATTGAGCTGCTGCCATACTGCCACTTCATTTGCTTTCGGCCATTTCACTAGCTGCTTCCGCCCAGGTTCTTTCCTTTCTGTCCTCTGCCCTGGCTCCTGGTTGTTGGGGTTTAATGGTGGTGTTTTCCTAAGGGTGTTTTCTCCTTTGCCACCCTTAGAGGAGTAGATATCAAGCAAGGACTCTCCTGTGTCAACACTGGAAGCCTCAGCACTGTGGTTAGGTTTGGGCTCCTCTTGTCTGACCTGCAGTTGCAGAGCAATGTTGCTGCTGGCCCCCCACTTGACACTTCTTCTTTTCCCTGGTAAATCCCTAAACCTCTGAAGGTAGACACCTTCTTCCATCCACACCTGCATCTTCTCAAAATCTTAATATTATTGCCTGTGTCAGTTCCAGTCATTACCAAAAATCCATCTGGTGTGGCCCTTCTTCTACCCCACCTCTCTGAGGGCCACCGGGTTGTTTTCATTTATTTATCTTCGTAGTTTGTTTAGGGTGTCCTGTTGAACAGGTGGATAAGGTAACTAGCCTGCCACCCCCGATGCAGACTTTCATCCAGTCATCCAGTCTCTCCTGGATGTCCTCCAGTCTTCCCTGGATGCCAACTGCCCACAGTTAAAATAAATACATTTTAACTGATCACAGTTTTTATTTATTACATTTATTTATTTTATTTATTTTTATTTTATTATTATGTATTTATTACAAAATGCAATTATGACCGTAAAACCAAATATAAGGATTTACTAAGCTAAAAAACTAAAACTCTGTGTTATTTTGGGAGTAAGGAAAGTATAGAATTTGTATGTATTGAGTGTTATGCTCCCCCCTAAATTTAATTCATGTAATTCTTGAAATGAATCTGAAAAATCTTACATTTTGACTACAGCCTAACTACCACACTTGGTCAAGAACACAACTCGGATACACCTTCAGCCACCAGCACATCAGTGTTTTTGATTTCTCAGTAATTAGCATGTTGAGAAATCACAGTCTTCTTATTTCAACATTCACACTCTGACTAAACCGAACAGGTATGCATCATTATCACCTCTTAGGTGTAGAATTAAACATTTTTTCTAAAGACGCTCACTCATTTAAGCATGGAGACAACAGCACTGGGTAATTCATGACATATCAGGTTCGTGGAAAACATTTTATTATAATTAGATGCTAATTAGAAAGATAAAAACAGGGGATCTTGGTTGAAGTCCTGATAATGAAAATCATCAGAAAGCAATGTCATACTACAGTGTGTCCTACAAAATCCTTAAGGATCCAGCTGATTTTAATAAACACAAAGCAGCCAGACTGTATTGTATGACGGTTTGAGTGAGTGAACCGGCATGCCTCAATTCTTTTCTCCCCGAGTCCTAATTGGCCCAGTCAACAGCAGCCAGGCCACATCAGCGTTATATACTCAGACACATCCATTTGTTTAACAACCTTGAGCGTTTGAAGAAGACAGATGAAAGGGGAGTCTTGGACAACTGCATTAGAGCCTCCCGACCACAAAAGAAATACCCTGCTTCATTAAAATGATAATACGGCAAAAAGACCCTCGCCCACATCTCTGAAGTACAAAAAGCCTTGTATTAGCCAGCAGAGCTACAGTAGATATCCCCCCCCCCCCCTCTTCCCAATCAAATCGAACTGTCATCTGAGGAGACAGGTCATTTACATTCTTGATAAAATGATCTTGCATTTTTTATTTGTCTTGGAAATTAAAGACTTACTTAATCATTGTGGATGGAAGTGGGGGCCCGGGCGATGTAGTCATGTGTTTCTGATTGCATTAGGACTGATGTGGCGTGGCGTGATGGATATTTAATAGTTAAGCTGTCCCTCTGTATCATGTCACAGGCCCCTGATGCACCCGATGCTCTGCAGCATGGCGGCGGTTGCAGGATGGCTTTAATTATTAGGCCAATCATGGGAATAGGTCTAGAAGAGAAGGAAAAGAGAGATCCCATCATGGAAAGCATCTCCAAGGTGAACTGCACTCGGGACTTTACTCTTGATATTGGTGTCAAATTAACTTTGAACCCGTAAACATTTCTCAGTGGGTTCATCTGTTGTTTTGGACCTCAACATTTTTCCAGAAAATTATAGTTTTATGTTCCTCAAAAAAAGAAAAAAAAAAATGCTGTACAATTCATGTTTGAGAATTGTATAAATACACATACACAAATAATTATTCAAAAATTTAGAAGAGAGTCAAATTTTATTTTTGAAAGAAATGCTTTCATTCAGCAAGGATGCATTAAATTGCTCAAAAGTGGCTTTTTATCCATAAAAAAACTGCACAAATGTTAACAATTGTCATTTTTTGAGCACCAAATCAATATTCAGAAAGACTTCTAAAGGATCACGTGACACTAAAGTCTGGAGAAATGGCAGCTTTGCCATCAGAGGAAAAATTAAATGTAGAAATATATTAAAATAGAAAACATTTTGTTTAAATATTACAATATTTTCATTTTTGATCAAACAAGCCTTAGTGACCATAAGAAAGTAGGAAGAGAAAGTAGGGTAAGAGAGAGATTTTTTGCCCCAAGCCCCTGTGAATTGCATAGGAAATGGCACTAGTGGTGTGGCTTTCGGAGGCCACAAATGAAGATAGTTACAAAGTAGTAAAAAAAGAAAAGAAAACAGTTCTAACAAAACATTAAATATTATTTTGTAATTGGGGAATACACAAATCAGTCAATTTTAAACACACACAAAGCTGTGAATCTTAAATAATATTTTTAAAAGTTTTTTAAAATATATATTTGTAGACCACCCATTCTGCACAAACACAATGGCCGCTTTATGAGTTAATAAGAATGAAGGGCTGCTCTCGCAGTGGTGTTTTTTTCCTCTCTGCCGCCTGAAACAGATGATGGGCCATCTGCTAGAGGACAATGCTAATCACAGGGCGGCGTGCAACGCTGGTGTGGATGAATGGCCAGGCTGGGCTCTCACATGTCGAGTGGCTCGTCCCACAATGCAGAGCGCCGGTCTGCCAAGTCCAGTCCTCTGCTCTGGCCCTGCCTCTTTCCTGTACCCACGCTCCCGCCAGACAGCCACCACACACATGCCGTTTCCTGTCAATTCAGGAAGTTTTTGGTTGTGGTCCCACTGATCCCACTGACACAAATGGGTAACAACATGGATGTTTAGTCATTTCCTACTTCCTCGTAGAAGTTACGGGTCAATGACTATTCTCTAAATGATCACTGATGGGTTACATCTGCATACTTTGAGAGGTTTTGTTTTGTTTGGATTTTATGCCGTTTTCCCCCCATATGTCATCTGGTATTGAAGAATTGACTGGTTGATGTGTCAATTGAACTCAATTATCACAGTTATTATCTTAGAGAAGCCACTCTCACAGTTTTAGAAGAGAGCAATATTTCACACCACACTAAGCGGATACAGAAGCCAGACATCCCAAACACAGGCAGTTAATGTTAAATGGAGTATTACATTCTTCATCCGTCGATATTTCATGGGTGGGCCCCTTCACAACCGACACGATCACCCCGCCAACCACCTCGACTACAAATATAGCCTGCAAAAATCAAACAGCCATCCTCTTTCTCTGCATTAACATTTACAACACCAGGAAATTGGTCCTTAATTCCTTTATCCTCTGAAAATGTGGGAAGCTAATCAGGCCTTACACATTTTTATGAGCGAATAAAAGCCAGTGCCAGGTTTGAGTACTGTGTTGTGTTGGGTGCAGAACGCTGGTCCTGTCCTCATGTTCACGATGCTTTCCAGCTGTGGCACGATTGGAGAAACAACATGAATTAGGCTTGTACCCAAGGCTGTTGCTTCCAGTTATGCTATTGTAGTGCTATTGCGTTAAAGCAGATGTGATTCTCTAACTGTGGTGTCCCGTTCCTGTCTGATTAGGTGTGTCCTCTTAAAATGCCACATCTGTGGCATTTTGGGTGATTTTGCAATGAAGGATATACAATGCCACAAGCTGAAAACATCTAGCAATTTACAGCTTGTTAAAGGAATCTGGAGTGTTTGTGGAGGAAGCCAGATTGTAATGGCCCTCTGTCTCCATTTTGGGGCTGAGGCTGTGTCTTAACTCTGGATGGAACATTTTGCTGGTTTCAAAAACATTAGTGTATAAAGGCTTAAGATACATTTTTAATTTAAAGGTATACAAAACTGCATAAGAACATTCAAGCCGGTGCTGCTTCTCTCTGTTTATGTCTATGACGAGTCACAAAGGTATTGGGCTACTCCGCAGTGGTTGGTGTCCCGCTCTGTCTAACATAGTCTGAATACAAACACTTATTTTAGGAATACCAGTGATTCAGGTTAAGGGTTCAGTTTGGAAGATGGATTCGTGATGTACTAGCTCATTATATTCATTTTTAACAAATAGTACTTACACAGAGTACCTTTAACATCATCGTAAATCGATAAACTGGAATATAAATTCTCCACATAAAGTCAGCCCTAGCTAACTGCTGTTAGCCGTTTGCCTTCCACGTTCAGACAAATTACAATTAATATATTAATTCCTCTTTTAGCTATTTAAAACTTTCATGCAGGGAGTATCTCTTTATGTTCCTTTCCGCCATGGCACTTCATTCTGAGGTACCAGGGCTTAGCAAAGCGGATTCCATGTAGAAAATAAAAGCCCAGACAACTGCATTACTGTCCGACCTGTCAGGTTCTTTAAATATATGCTCAATCCTCGCTGCCAAGCCCTTAAAAGCAGTGCTGGCAGAGAAAGCGAACTGGGAGTGACAAAAGCACGTCGTTTGGGGGGCTGTGATTTTAGTTGAGGAGAATGGACTTTTAAATGTATTTTTATACATTCACAAGGAGTTCATTCTGTTCCTCATGAATCAATAATAAGCAGTGTGCCATAGACCCGGGATACAATTATCCACCCCGAAGAAGCTCACCTGTCACAATGATGTCTGAGGAACTGAATACACTGTCAGGTGTAATGGCGTTTATTTTGCTGTTCCCACAGAGCCGGGGCCTGCAGCAGCTCTAACGTGGAAGATTCTTAGGAGTCATCATGCTCAGGCCTACGAGAACATGACTGTACACTACACATACACAGAGCCATACTGAAGCAATGCAGGATCCATTACCACAGCAGGTTCCAGCTCCTTACTGTTTCTGTTAGTGATTCTTTTTTTTTTTTTTAAGGAATAAATTTAGAAGAAAAAAAAAAGAAACTGCAGGGCCAAACTGCATTATTAATTAATATAATAAATAATAAATATATATTTTTTCCAAGTAATATAATATAAATATTACTTGGAAAAAGGCCTTGACAATAAACTGAAATAAGTTTAAGTTGAAAAGTAACTTAAATAAGTTTAAGCACTAAAATGATTAACTGGAAATAAATAAAAACTACAAATTAACATGAAAACTAAAATATAAAAATTAAGGCTGATTGAAAATATGAATACAACTATGATAAAACTAAAATGGTACCAAATGATGAAATAATTTCAATAATGAACAAACCTAAAACAATTATTGCAAAACAAGTATCTACATGTTACACAGATTTTATGACTTTTGGGAGTCTTTTTAGAGGGAACACAATTCTTAAATCATTAATGATGTTTTTATTTAGATATGTATTTAGATTGAGCCATTTTAATGTACATCGAGCATTGGTTCCCTTACATTGAAATAGCCATTTTTCGCCACCATGTTTCTACAGTAGCCCTAAAAGGACAAATGCGTTTCGTCACTATGTTGTTCTTCGTGCAAAGAAGCAAGCTAAAGTCAGTGACTAAAACACTGACACAATGATGAACAACTAACAATAATATTTGCAATAACATTGTTTTACTGAATAATTAAACATAATTTCTTAATTTGTCTTTATTAAGAAACCTCATTGCTTGGCTACTCTCTGCTGTCTCAGACGACATTTTTTCCTGTCGGCCACCGCATCTTCTGTTGGTTGCAATTTCCTATCTCACCACTAGACGCCGCTAAAATCACACACTGCACCTTTACCTTTGAATTAAACCGCAATACTAAAACATAACAAAAAAAAAAAACTTTCATTTTCAAGATTTTATTCATTTATATTTAAAAAAATGCTACCGACAAAACACAACGTTTATATTTAAAAACACACTAAACATGAACAACCAGTCAGTAACGAATTCAGATGCTGATGAATAATAATTAGTGCAGGAAACATTATATTACTATGTGGTTTTGGTCTGCATTGGAGGAAGAATGAATGTGCAAGAAGTTATCAGAACCAATTATTATTGTTATTTTTACTTATTTATTAAATGGAACGGTTCCCTATACCTATACATTGCAATGTATATTTTTTGAAAAAGGTTACTTCTGAAAATTACAACAACAACAAAAACAAAAACAAGTGGTTTCAGCAACTTAAAATGAACAGAATAATTATTTGAGAACAAAACCAATGTTAGTGTTAGCTTTGTGGGCACACTTCCCTAACAGCTATGATAGCGGTATAAACACAGTTGTCATGTTACATCTGTTGTTGTTTAATGCAATCCATCTGTTAATGAAACAAACTAAAATACATTAAAAACTGAACATGTTATGCACTAAAAGGCTTGGCTCCATCTATTAGGCCCATGAGGAGTAACCATTTAGTGGGCAGCTCTGCTATGATGGGTATTGGGGAAGATACTAATAAAGCAATAAATATTTGGTGGATGGCAATGGAAGTGGATCCAACTGAATCTCAGACTAGTTCACAGCAGATGTTTGCATATTGTGCCTTCTGGAACAGACTCTCTATTTATTTCACTACCCTATAATTCGCATGGCAACCTGACTAACTAATAGCCATCACTAACTAGAAAAATTCAAGAGAGGGTCCTCCTCGGAGATACTATATGACAAAACCCTTTAGCATAGTGGATTTCTCAATTTACAACATACGGCCTGTGAGAACCCATCTCACT